TGAGTCAACCATGAAAGGTACCCTTTTTCCTGATATGTGAGTCTCAATGAAACCCAGGGCACAACTATAAAAGCAGTTGTAGTCCTGGTCCTGTTCTTCTGGATTAAGAAGCATTGATGCTGATACCTTGGAGTCTTGCGTTGGTCCCTTTACATAGGTAAACTTTGAATTTTTGTGTTCTGGAATTCGTTTCTGAAGTTTCTTGATTACTTCTTGAGCGTATGTTGGTGAAATTGATGTGAGTTGGGAAAAAGTAGTGGGTATCTTCAAGTTGTCCAACTCTGAGACTAAGGCTGATTCAACCGTCTTCTCTGTTTTCTGAACAGTTGGTTTTGCTTGAGGTTCCGCAATTTGTCCAGGCGTTTTTCTGGTGGCTGCCACTTCTTCCACTATTTCTTCAAGTTCATCAATTGGGTCCAAATCCATTGCCGAGTCATCGTTTGCTGCCATGGGTTTTCTTCTTCCACGGAGCGCTTCTGCTCGTGTTGTTGCTGCGTTGAATTGGACCTTGTCAAAATTTTCTGAACCTAAGTGTGGTGGATCCAGTCAATTTTGTGCATTGATGAGACGTAGTCGCTTGAGTTGGGTGTTGGTTCTGCCTGTTTTTCAAAAACTGATGGGTGATCGGTCCGGTATACTTTGGTGATCTGAGGTTTAGGTTTTGCGGAGTCCGCAGCCACAACCACCCGAATAGGTCTTGAAGGGTCCCATGGAATTTTCTCGCCATTGGGAAGGTAGAAATCACGTCCTTCTTTCTTGACTAGCCCTTCTCGTTCATCTTTCTGTGCTTCGTAACACATTATGGTTGAATGTCCTTCCTTATGACAATAGTAACAGGGTCGAGGTTCATAAAGTTGTCCAGATGGTCGATCATTTCCACGAGAATATTCATTTTTAGGTTGATTCTCCAATTTTCCTGTGAGTGATTCAATTGCTTTTGCCAAGCTATCAACCTGTTTCTGAAGTACTTCCGGAGGATTGTTGTCCATCATCTTCTCACGCTTTTTTCCGTCGCCTTTCTTCTGGTCCAGAGTCCTTTGCATTGATTGGTTGGCCTCGGCGAATCCACTAGCTGCAAAGACATTGAGTGACCTTGCTCGAATTTCATCCTCAGCTACATCAATGACATCCGAAAGGAGGGGTGGTTTGTTATAACCATCCTTCCCGGTAGGAATGAGGTCTGCCTTGACTAGCTCTCGATTAATGCTTGTCTGTATATCTGTTGAAAAAGCTAAAAAGAAAAGGTGAGAGACACTGGTTTCATTTACTATATGTTCATTTCTTACCAAATACTTAGTTATTATCATGAACTTTGACTGATAAGTCTTGAAATCGTTCAGCTGCTTGATTCCGCCTTTCTTCTGACAGAAATCAATCAAATTGTAAAGGTCCTTGATCGTGTACCGAATCTTCTTTGCCACGCCTCCCCAGATTTCTATCATGCTTGCACGAAGAAGTGTCCAGTTCCGCTGCTCGTATCCGTCCATCGATTCCAATTCCTTCTTCAATTCTTCTACCTTCACAAATCTACACACTTGACGTGCTTTGTCATAGCCGCCAGCACCGTAGATTTCTGCCGCCAGTTCGAATCGTTCCAAAAAGTCTTCAAAGTTCTCGCCTTCATATCTTAAGTCTGGTTCCTTGATGATGACTGCAGGCCTAGGCATAGGCTCGTCCATTTCCTGAATGTCCGGAGGTAAGCCATAGGTTCCCGCAGGGTAGTTTGTTTGTTGAGTGTTACCAGAGCCAGCTGGGTCGTCGTTTTGTTGATTGTTTTGATGAGCCCCATACCGTTCACGATAGTGCTGTACTCGAGTATGACTTGTTCGTATTGGTGGTGGGGGTAAAATAGGTGGTATTATTGGTGGATCAATATTCATGTTGGGATTTTTTTGATTGCCAGAGAATATTCCAGTTGAAGCTGGGTTGGTTGTCGGTAGAGTCGGTCCGTCTTGAGCCTGGGAAAACGCCATGACTGAGAATAACTGATTCCGGTTGCTTTATCTTGCGTTGAGTTGTTGATAATTTCTAGTAGTAGTCCTAAATTCTTCTAACTAATGTCGCTGGCGTTCTTATCCAGGGCAAGGTTGGGGGGTTTTGGTTACTAACTAATAATAATACTAATAAAACTAAATAATATGATACTACTATTCAATTATATAGATTCGTGGAGGTTGTCATAGACTAGTATTCTACTTCGCACTGAGTTTTAATCGGCTACCACCTGGTAGTTAAACTTTTTTATCCTAACTACTCTAGTACGTCGGCTAATCGGTCCCCTCGTCTTCTACTTTATAATTGATTCTTGAGTATTTAACTACTTAATCCGGAGTTCTACTAGGTATATCTAAGAACTAAGTCGTATAAAGCTAAACAGAATGTGATTATTTAAAGATATGGTTTGTCACGTGGTCAAAACAGGAATTTTCCTGCCTAAAACTAACTAAAATTCTACTAAAATAAACTATAAAAATCACCACAATGGTTCAGATATATCTAATCCACTTGCCAAACTTCAGGATCCTCTATCACGTTGGGGACTCCCTTGTAAAGCTCAAAAGTGTTTGTGAAAACCTTTTGCTGAGTGTGGAAAGGGATGAATGAGGATACCTCTGCCTTTCCTGGATCACTAGACACTAGACAAGCCCACCAATCTCAGATTGGAAGGTTTAATAAAGTGATAGTGGAGTGTATCAAAAGATAACTGTGGCTTAACAGGTGGACAAAGGGTTTAAACCAGTTTTATAAGGGTCTAAAAGGTTGATTTGAGAGTGAGAGAGTGAGTCTAGCTGATATTTCAATGGTAAGGGGATGGTATGTAATGGTATGTAAGGGTTTGTAAGGGTAGGGGGTATGAAATAGGTGGATACTAAACTGAGGGGAAAACAACTGAGAGGAGAGCCTCTTAAATACACAAAGGTGAGGGATTTTAGCTTCAGGGGAACAAGAGAATGAGAGAATTTAGCTGGCCAGAGCTTTACAATGAGGGGATTTAGCTAGTCAGAACATGTACATGAGGTATTTTGGCTGGTTGAGCAACCTACATGATGTCATAAGAGTTATTTTAGTTTGAACTAGAAGTCTACATGAGGTTTTTATGCTGGTGTAGCATTTTACATGAGGTGATGTACTAGTCTGCAAGCTGAGGTGAGGTGATGAATATTACATGAGTGGTGTGAGATAGTCTGACAGCTGCAAGGAAGATTAACAAATGACATGACAACCTGCATGATGTCACTTGTAAATCCAGAGTGGTACCAGACCAACACTGCATGTGTCAACTGTCAGAAGATAGTGGAGTGGTGTGTATACATGTACTATAATGGTGTGAGTATGTATTTGTCCTGCAACATGCATGTGTGTAGTGTGAATTATGTAATTTGTTGAGGTTGTTGAGTGTTGAAGTGTTGCCATGGTGGTAAGTTGTGTAATTGAGTGTAGTGATGGTCCAGAGGGTGTAGCTTCCAATCCAGTTGAGTTCCAGTGACGCCTCCAGTGGTGACCAAGGGTGAAATTTACCATAGAATCCAGTTCTTGAGCCATATTGGGTGATTTGTGAGTGTATATATGAGAAAAAAGGTGTAAAAAGTATGTAATTTGTAATAAAAGAAAAAACTGTAAAATTTTTAAATGGGCCAGATGGCTACCCTTAAGGTATACCACAACGTGATCTAGGTCTGATAGAGATTACTTTACGAAAGTAAGATCTATCTTGGAATCAGCCATACATTATTAAATATTGATTACAAGACTCTTAGTTATTTGTTTAGTACATTTAGAGGGGCAGGTCTTTCAAAACCACCCGTAAGTTGTAATAGCCTTTCAACCTATTTGCAATTTATTTCCCCCTCAAGGGATCTTTTGATATACATATACTTTACCGTGTCTATCCGTCCCAGGAGTCCTACAACGTGACTTTCATGATATTCAAGGTGATGAGGACCCGGACCAGGAAGATGCTTCAGAAGACGACTCGGAAGAACACTCCTCAGTGGCATCAGAATAATCGTACCTCCTGGGCATGAGACTAAACTGTTCACAACACAAAAATCAAATTTCAAAATATTAGCTTAATTTTTTTCAAAATCAGTCAGATGAAAATTTTTTCAAGTTGGGGGAGGACTCACATTCTTTTATAAAACACTCTTTATTCCTTATATCCCCCCTCAACACCCGTTTCATCTCACCAATTTAAAATATGCACACTTATAAATATGACCTTACTATTTCTTCTCTTCTCATCCCTTACCCTTTTCCACCACTATTACCCCTCCAGCTTTGATGAACTTAAATCCTTACAAATTCTCACTCAAGACACTCCTTTTAATCCCCACACTACCTTGAACTAAATTTACACACCACTTTTTGGCCCATTATCAACCATAAATCTCTTCTTTTTCCTCACACCTTCAAAACTTACACACCCTTACCATACCATCCTTCCTTACTCTTGGATTTTTTTGGGCCATTCTCACCTTCCTTAAACCACCCACTCAACTTTCTGGAATCACTCAGTTAAAGGTTGAGGACAACCTGCATAGTTGGGGGAGGGGTGATGCATTTCTATTGTTCACTATCTAAAATTTTCAGTTTTTTTAACTATAAACAAGTGCTGGAAAGGGTTTGAACTACTTAACTAGCCTCTCCACAGACAGCAGGAAACACTCACCAAACACCTTGGCCGACTATTGCTTTTCATTTGGACAATCTAAAATTTATTCTTATTGGAGGCTTCGCATTTGATCGAGTGTTGAAGAGGACGTCAACAGAAGTTCCGATTCAGTAAATGGCTTATATGAGACGGTGTTCGACTCGGATCAGCAAAACCGATGAATACATGGCCGGACATACGTGCGAATTGAGTTAGAACGGAGGAAACCGATGGAAAACCTCTCGAGGCAGGATCGATACCGCAAGGATGGCGTGGACTAGCTGTAGTTCAAACCTGACGGCCACTACATAGAAGAGATTGTATCTGAATCAGAAAATACCTACCACACTCAAATCCGAGATCGATAGTACGCAGCAACGACCAAGGAGCTGAAAGAAACAACGCTCACCTGAACCTCAAGAATGACTTTAAGTTGCGATTCCATTTCGATAGGCCTGGACCCGCTTGAATACCCTTGAGGCTGGATCACTGCAGTCGATGCAAGGACGGTTAATCGAACGATTGGGCAATTCGTTCTTTGGATCCCGGCAAAAGTGTGACAACTTCGTTTGACTGCGGTTCAAGTACAACGGACCAGATTCTAATCAGATGATGAGCATGACAATGATGAGGGGGATGAAAGCGGTCTACTCGACCCCTTTATTTACGTTCTCCAAACCACACAGCAGCAACTGACAAGCAAGAGAAAACTAGCTCACCTGACGGCTCCGATCAACCTACGCGACGCGCTGCGCCCCACCGTGAGCCGATCCTGGCCAATCACCGTGCTGGATTCGACGGATGGAATGATACCGATGCCAGCCGACATGTCCTGACCAATAAGAAGCCAGGATACAACATTGTTCAGCTAGATAATATATGTAATTAGAAAAGTTAAGAAGAAATAAGAAACTCACCTGTCTGTGCCTGTCAAAAACGCATGGAAAATCCGATCGAAGAGGCTAGAAGAATTCGGAATTTGAAGATGTTGGCCATACCGATTCGAAATGGATGTAATCGGCTGGCCGGCCTTCTAGTAAGTTTGAATCCGGACCGGAACGGCGCACACGGAACGAGGCACCCGCGACTTGGTGCTATCGACTGCGGCGCAGTAATTTCTCAACCTCGCGCGGCCCCGAATCCAAACTCGAACCCCGAACGATCAGAAAACCCTCTTGGGCCCCTCCCAAGGGGGTTTTGCAGCTAAACCAGGCTACCCAGCGACTCTACGACGACGAGCGTCATCCAGACGTCCATGCTGCGCAGCTGCGCACAGCGCGCAGCAAATCAAATTTGTATGTAGAAAAATAAAATAAAATAAAAGTAAAATAAATAAATAAAATAAAATAAAAATAAAAATAAATAAAAATGCCCCCCCACCTGTGCACTTTGGGCAGAAGGGGGGTACACAGGGACCCTGAGGCTAACATCTACAGGGGAAAGCCTGTTAAAGCAGCTGTATAAGAATTAAGTTTAAGTTAAAAATCACAAATACGGCTACCCCA